CACTCAACTTCTTTAAAAAAAAAAAAATCTTAGCTTTACAATTGAGCTTAGAACGACTGAAAAGGTACAATTCCAAAAGATAGATGAGACCTCCCTTTTATTAAGCTGTCAGTGGAAACAACATGGATGGGCTAACACAAGAAACACACCTTCTCCTTATCTGAAGGCAGCAATATTTGTTGCAAATACCTTGCTAGCCTTTTTTTCATCTTCCTCCAACTGGTTCCTGAGCACCTGGATTTTGTACTGTAGTTGCTGTACAGTTTCCTCTATGCGTTCTGCTGATCGTTTGGCCTCATTTATTTCTTCCTGAAGTAAAAAGACAGAAAGAGAGAACAGCAATAAAAATTTCTCTAGAGGTAGTGACCCATTTGTGTATCAAATACTGTGCAAGAGTTCCCAAACAAATTGTCCTTAAGACTAGAGAGGAGGATTCACAAAAACAAACAAATAACAAAGTAGAACAAAAAGTTAACAGGATTAAAGAACTATCATCTCTATCTGTTGATAGAGTATTCAAAACTTCCCAATTCTTCTAAGTTCCTTCTCCAAAGCACCAGCTAAATAACTGAGAAAACAGTCAAAAAGACACACTGCTTAATAAGAAAGTGGATGACAATAATGACTAGAGGAGCAGCACCTTTGCTAAAAGGTTGCAACACACTAAAAAGCCAAAGACAGAAAAGATACATCTTCTTCCCATTCTTATTTTTCATACCTCTAATTGTACCAAAGACTCTTCATTTGTCTCAAGCATTTGTTTCTCTGCCACTTGAAGACTCAGCAAACTCTTCAGGTTGCCCAGTTTCCTTGGTGGTACCTTTAAGGTCTTGAAAAATCTCAATATCCTGTATTAGGGAAAAAGGAAAGCCTGAATTGTACTATCAAGATGATTCCCTCCTTGATTTTCCATTAACTTTTCCTTCCAATATGATTGCTCTCAGAAGCAATCCTATCATCATGGTACAAAAATAACTGAATAAACCACATTCCATTTCCACACATCTTCTCTGCCCCCTTTTTAAATTTCTTACCTTTGTTTCAGTAAATTGAGGTGTTTCTGAACATCTTCTTTCCTCTCTCTTTGTTGGCACAAAAGAGAACTGGAAATAAAATAAAGGCATAATTTTTAATCACAGACCCAGGCAGCACAAAGAACTCAGCAAGCAGAGTAAATAGTCGAACCTTGTCTAGGTGAGAATTTACAACTTCGGGTAAGTATTTGTGTTTTACTTTATTGCTTAGAGAAGCAGACAGAAAAGAATCACCAGAATATTTTGCACTTACAGTATTACTGAATTCATCATAGTTTCCAGAAACTGCTTGCTGCTCTCCAACAGAGTCTGCCAAGATGCTACTTCAGCACTGCTTAGTTTCATCTCTTTTGAAGAACCATTTTCTTTTGTTTGTACTAGTA